GTGGTGTGGACAAGTCCCCAGGAGACTGGCATTGCGGATGCAGACTGTTCGCACCGATGCTGACTGTATGCGCCGATGACGTGGTGTGGACAAGTCCCCAGGAGACGGGCGTTGCGGACCTCCTGCTCTTTGCCCTACTGCCTCCTTCTGCTCTGAGAAGCGAGGTGGCTCTGGATGGGTGGGGGTGGAGGTGAATCACAGGCTATGGCCTCGTTTGCCAGGATGGCCAGCCTCATGTGCTCCCAGCGTGTACACTGTATGTCCAGTGTCCCTAAGCACCCAGTGCCTCTGCTGTCACGCTTGCTGGGTGAGTGACACTGCCCATCTCTGAGTGCAGTTCTGAAGATCAGTGAGACACTAATGCCTGTGAATTTTAGTCTCACGTAATAATTCAAACAATGCTGGAATTAATAATAACTATGGCTCAAAATCAATATACATAGCGCAATGTGTTTGTGTTTAAACTAGCTCATTAAGATTAAGGTAGCCCAAAATACTCATTTCCAAACACTAAAACAACATTGCCCTGTATTTTAGAGGAAAATCTGTTACGCTTTATGAGTTAACTGTGAAAACATACACATGTTTTTCAGGTTGCCCGGGTGCCAAAAAGCATGAGTTTCTGACCAGTATTCTGGACGCGCTGTCCACGGACATGGTCCACGCGGTCTCCGACCCCTCCTCCTCGTCAGGCAGGTACGCTGTGTTCGCTGTGGGACAGTGAGTTGGTGGGGTCCCAGAATTCCGGGGAATCTGGAAAGTCTGAACATTACATATTGGCGACCTTCTCAGCTTATTTGGACACAGTAGGGCCGTAAAAAGGAGCCCTCTGCAAACACAGGACGTTGCTTAGCAAGTTTTTCTTGTAGCATGACTAAATCACTGAAGGCGCTCCCACTGGGGTATGTGGCCCTGAGCCGTGACTCCTGGGCCTCCATGGGGTAGTGGGCTCTGACCCTGGCCCTGTTGGTGGGGAGTAGGGCAGGGGGAGCACCTCCTGCCGAGGGCTCTGTGCTTTGAAATTGCACTTTTGAGTTATCCATTGGATTTTAAATACTTGGAATGGCAACGTTTAATTTGAAGTTCTCAAAGTGTGATTATGTTTATTGCAGTAAAATGTACAGCATGTACATTTGCCATCCTAACTACTTTCAGGCATATGATTCAGTTGTGTCAAAGACATTCACACTCTGCTCAAAATAGGATTTTTGGAACCCAGAAATGTTCCCTGGGTACACTGTAGACATTCCTGCACCCCTGGACCTGAGTACACTGTAGACATCCCCGCACCCCTGGACCTGGGTACACTGTAGACATCCCCGCACCCCTGGACCTGGGTACACTGTAGACATCCCCGCACCCCTGGACCTGGGAGTACACTGTAGACATCCCCGCACCCCTGGACCTGGGTACACTGTAGACATCCCCGCACCCCTGGACCTGGGTACACTGTAGACATCCCCGCACCCCTGGACCTGGGTACACTGTAGACATCCCCGCACCCCTGGACCTGGGGCCTGGAGCACAGTGTAGTGGACTTCAGTGAATTTCCCACCACTCCTCTTTTCCACCCTCTCTAGATCAGCCTCAGGAGAGTGGAAGAACCCCAGGGTTTTACTGCGATGGCGTCTCAAGCATCAGATATTCCCCCTGAACTAGCAATAGTTTATCTGTTTCTTTCAAATAAATTTTGAATGGAGATTTTCACTTTTTTCTTTCTTTAGAATGTTGGCCTTTCTCCCCAGAGCCCCGACACCCAAACCCTTGATGATCTCAGCCTCTTTAGATGACTTTTTTGGTCTGCTGAACTAAAAGCCTCTCCTCTCACTGTCTGTCTGCTAAAGAAGACTTAAGGAAATAAAAAGGCAATGCTAACAGAAAATGTCATGAATGTGTAGGAAATTAAATGTAATAGAGCAGGCCTGGGACGGGGTCTCACACCTGGAATCCAAGCACTTTGGCAGGCCAAGGCGGGTGGATCACCTGAGGTCAGGAGTTTGAGACCAGCCTGGCCAACATGGTGAAAACCCATCCATACTAAAAACACAAAACTTAGCCCAGCATGGTGGCAGGCACCTGTAATGCCAGCTACTCGGGACACTGAGGCAGGAGAATCACTTGAACCTGGGAGGCAGAGGTTGCAGTAAACCAAGACCGCACCATTGCACTTCAGCCAGGGCAACAAGAGCAAAAATTCTGTCTCAAAAAAAAAAAAAAAAAAAAAAAAGAAATTTAATAGAGTCAAACTTTACGTAAATTTCAACTTTACATCTTCTATTTTTGGAAAGATTGTTTTTGCAAACTAAACTAAACTGCAAACTAAAAACAAAGGCAGTAAATGAATTGCTAACTAAACTAAATTACAAACTAAACTAAATGCAGACTAAAAGTGAAGGCAGTAAATGGATTGCTATCTGAAAAACTCCTTTGAAAGTTTGAGAAATTGGCAGTGGTGTTGGAGTTCATGGTGTTCTCATATCTGGAAATGCGCAGCTCATCCCAACAGGCAGAATCCAGAGGCCAGCACCTCCAGGAGGGCCTGCCCGTGCACACACACACACACCCTCCATCTCAACGAGAAGGTGCATTTCTGCCATTTGGTGCACTTTTAAAGATCTGACTCCCATCCAGACCTTCTAGAAGAGTTTTACTTATTTATGCCCTAAAATATTGAACCTATCATAATCCAAGGAAAGCTATCTAGTTCCAACTTAAAATGTTTTAGATTTGCATCGTCCGGTATACCTATGACATAAAGGATGTGTAAAAGAATTAAATTTACAGGGCTAGAAAAGCTCAGGGTTCTGGTGTGTCGGGTGGGTATAGCTGCATGTGCTGACTTGCCAGTCCTGTGCACACAGAAGCCAGGGTGAGGGGGCTTTTGTCCTTCAGGAACAGGCCAAGTGCATCTTTGCTGGGCACAAATTCACTGCATCATTTGCAATTTTGAATCCAACCTGAAAAATCTTTGCTAAAAGTGTTCTTCTAAATTACTTCTTTAAATTGTTGTATCTGATTACCAATGCTGCAGGCTTAGACACCAGGACCATGAGAACTACAAGCAGGGGTTGTGGGTTTGATGGAAGGACAGTGGCGAGAAAGGGGCAGCTGAGGGGTTTAAGCGTCCTGACGGCGTCTGTGTTCCTTCCAGGCTCTCGGAACCCGACCCCAGCCACACCCTAGAGGAGCGAGTGGTGCACTGGTACTTCAAACTACTCGATAAAAACTCCAGTGGAGACATCGGCAAAAAGGAAATCAAACCCTTCAAGAGGTTCCTTCGCAAAAAATCAAAGCCCAAAAAATGCGTGAAGAAGTTTGTTGAATACTGTGATGTGAATAATGACAAATCCATCTCGGTACAAGAACTGATGGGCTGCCTGGGTGTGGCTAAAGAGGACGGCAAAGCAGACACCAAGAAGCGCCACAGTAAGAGCCTTGCCACCCCCCACCCTGGGCCGTGGTCAGGCCCTGAGGCCTGGGAGGTCCGCTTCTCACAAGCACAATTACAGATTGTGTTTATGGCCTGGGGGTGCAAAAAAATCAAATATGCTGTTTAATTGTAGGTCATCTGTTTGCAGGAATAATAACGATAATTGATGACTCGTGTCATGCCACTTGCCCAGGAGAGCCCAGGCTCAAAGGGCGTGAACTCCGTGTTGGTTTGCAATGAGCCTTTTCACTGTTCACCATGGTTGGTTTCCCCCAGAATGGATTGTCTTCTGGTATTTGAGGTGCAAGCCTGGGAACCATTGGAATAACTCACCAACCCTGTACCTGAACTCCAACCAAATGTTCAGGCCAGTTCACAAGGCGTAAAATCATTGCTGAGGCCCAGACCAATCATTCCAATGCTTATAGCAGTTTTACCAATTGAAAATACTTTATTTTTTGTGGGCCTGGCCTACCCAACCAACCGTGACAGGAAGGAAGAGAATCCTATGATGGCCAGAGCCCAAGTGTTCTCAGGAGCCCAAGCCAGGAAAACCCAGGTCTGACTTTTCAACTCAGAGACAGCACTGTGAGATGCACGCATGCCTTAGATTCCACTGCACATGTGTGCTAGATACTCCTGCATGTGTGTGCTGGATCCCACTTCATGTGTGTGCTAGATCCCCCTTCACGTGTGTGCCAGATCCCCCTTCACATGTGTGCTAGATACTCCTGCACATGTGTGTCAGATCCCCTGTGTGTGTGCTAGATCCCTTGCACATGTGTGTCCTGGATCCCCTGTACATGTGTGCTAGATCCCCCTGCACATCTGTGCTTGATCGCCTCACATGTGTGCTAGATCCCCCTGCACATGTGTGTGCTAGATCCCCTGTGTGTGTGCTAGATCCCTTGCACATGTGTCCTGGATTCCCTGCACATGTGTGCTAGATACCCCTGCACGTATGTGCTTGATCACCTCACATGTGTGCGAGATCCCCCTGCATGTGTGTGTGCTAAATCCCACTGCACATGTGCCAGATTCCCCTTCATGTGTGTGCTGGATCTCCCTGCCCACTTGTGCTAGATCCCACTGCACATATGTGCTCAATCCCTTGCATGTGTGTGCTAGATCCCCCATATGTATGTGCTAGATCCTGCTGTACATGTGTACTGGATTCCACTGCACGTGTGTGCTGGATCTCATTCCACATGTGCATTAGAGCTCACTGTCCTTGGGAATCTCTGTTTCCTGATTTGTATAATACTTGCTGGGTAGGGCTAGTAGAGACCTCTCAAATTCCTGTTGTTTATGACTCTTTTATTTGTTGTCAACTTCGGTAACAAATGTGAAAGAGAAAACAAGCTTGAGACTGTGTTGTGGAGGGCTGATTCACCATGGTCTTTAAAATCCTCCTGGCAAGGTGCGGTGGCTCACACCTGTAATCCCAGCACTTTGGGAGACTGAGGTGGGTGGATCACCTGAGGTCAGGAGTTCAAAACAAGCCTGCCAGCATAGTGAAACCCCATCTCTACTAAGAATATAAAAATTAGCTAGGCATAGTGGCTCATACCTGTAATCCCAGCTACTGCAGAGTCCAAGGCAAAATTGCTTAAATCTGGGATGCAGAGGTTGCAGTGAGCCAAGATCGTGCCACTGCATTCCAGCCTGGGTGACAGAGTGAGACTCCATGTTAAAAAGAGAGAGAGGAAAAAAAAAAACCCTCCTGTGTTTGAAGCTCAGCTGTGAGACAGGGGCCCTTTGATCTGACCTGGACCGAGGGTTCCTGGAGGAGGCAGTGACCATCATCTACCTCCTCTTCTTGGTGTCCTAGTGCTTGTCACGACAGTCACTCAGTGCTATTCAACCATATTAGGGACAGCCTAGATCTGTGTCATGGTGAAGCACTTCCTGCTAATTTCTCTGTGAAAAGTCAGCTCAGAAAAATTAAGCTTTAATTTGAAGCTTTCTGTGTAGGGTCTTTGTGGTTAATGCACATCCTGCCGCCCTGACGATGTATTCACGGGAGAGCGGATGGCCATACCTATGGTTGCCTCCCTTCGCTCTGTGTACAGGAGGCTGCCCTCTCTGCTGGCCTGGTCATCCGATGAGGTCAGAGAGAATCCTCAGTTATGTTCAATGTTCTGTCTCCATCAAGGACTGTTTGGCAAGTGTGGGAGGAGTTCACCTCTAACAAGACAAAAAAGAAAAGAAATCACTCTGGGCTGATCAACTCTGATGCATGAAGGCAGCAAATGCCCATTCACCACTGTGGGAAGAGGGGCACTAAACATGCTGCCACAGTCTGGCAAGGCTCATGATCCAATATCCAATCCCACTTCATGGCTCAAGACTTCATTTCATTTTCACAGCCATCCTCTGGGGGATGAGGTCGCAGACAGATGCTGCCAACCCTGACACTTGCAGACAAGGACACACAGGCACTGCAGTCATCAGCACTTTGATCTGAGTCTTCCTCAGCAGTGCTGCATGCAGCAAGGGCAGTGCTGTTGGAAATCGTCCACTGTGCTGGGCTGCACTTCCTGTTAGGGCTCCTTCACCCACACCGAGGTACACCTGCAACCCTGCAGGCATTTGGATGGATAACCAAGAATGCCCATTCTCAGTAGTTGCCCATGTGTGATTTTGTCCTTGCTTTTCCCTTTCTCTGTATTCAGTACCTGCCCATTGGGTTTCCTGGGCACTTCTGTCTTACTGCCACCTGATACTGCTTTTGACTTCTTGGACTGGGACTGTGTCTTAGTCCACTTTATGCTGCTATAACAGAATACCATGGATGGGGTAACCTATGAACCCAAATGTATTAGCTCATGGATCTAGAGGCTGGGCAGTCCAAGATTGTGGAATCAGCATCTGGTGAGGGCCTTTGTGCTGTGTCATCCCCAAATGGAAGGGCGAAGAGAGGGTGAGAAAGAGAGAGAAAGCAAGGGGGGCCAAACACACTCTTTCCTAGGAGCTTATTCCCAAGATAATGGCATTCACCTGTTCATGAGGGCCGAGTCCTCATAATGCAGACCTCCTAAGCCTCCCAGCGCCTCTGCATTAGGGATTGAGTTTCCAGCACATGAACTTTGGGCTCACCTTTAGACCATAACAAGCTGCTCTCTTCACTTTTTTCTCTTATTTTGGTCCTTGCTCAGTATCCCAAAAGACAAATGGTGTATTGCTCTTTGAGACTTAAAACCTACCAGCAGGGTCCACATGGGAGGCCTGGGGGAGTGATGGGGAGATGGAGAGCAAGTGGCTGCCAGATTAGCAGCTGGAGCCAGGGAACCATGGTGTCCCTCACCCCTGATGATTCCACATAGGGAAGATGAACACCCACTCAGCGATTCACGAAGGGAGCTGCTCACATTCTGCTGTTGCCCCATCTGCACGTGATGAGTGATACCTTGTGGCACCTGGGAGTTTCCTGTGTAGCTCCTCCTCCATTATGGAAGCCAGTCTCTGCATTTCTATAGAAGGCTAATTTTTATGGTTATAGTGAGAAAATTAAGGATGGACAGAGCCAAGTGTAGATCTGTTTTTGACCTTTTAATCTTCTTCCATTCCTGGATGGTGCAGGCTGGTCTTTTCTTTGCAAGGACTCCTTCCTGTTAGCCGTTGTCAGGTGGCTTGAGTAGCACCCAAAACTTAAGCCACATACGGCCTCTGCCCTCCTCAGCCTGGTGCTACAGGGTCATGTGGTCCATGGCCCTTGCTGGGGCAGATTCCTGTCTACTGATTTCTTCAATTAAACTGAAGTAAATATAG